GCACAAAGAGTAAAGGGATAATCCCACAGCTTTTGCTGGGGGAATACAACCAGCCTTTGCTGGAGCAACAGGACAGTTCCTACAGCCTTCGTGGAGTAAAACACCTTTCAGCTTAGCAGATCTACAGCAACCATTGTCTGGTAAGGGACCACTCGGCTATCCATAAAGTAGCTTGGAGCCGGGAGTAGGGGCCTCACGCCAGCAAGGTAAAGAAAGATTGCCCAGGGAGGGGTCAGAAGATTTCCCTAGGAAGAAAGGAACAGTTTACCACCAGTTGATAGCAGATTGAGGAAGCTACCGGTTTTCCAAGGTTATAAAGCGTTTAATTCATTTGTTTGAAGATTTAAGCCCAAATAAAGAAATTTGTTGAACTTATTTTGAGCCTCAATAGAACTCTGTGTTGGAAAATCTAAGGGGCCCTTCAGCTAAGGCACCCCAGCGTCCCGTTGGGCATACAGAAGGCACGTCCTGTAAACAGACATTATTTCAGGCCCAGCGTGCGACAGCACAGTATCCATATAATACAATTTAAAGCAGAAAATCTGGAGTCACATCATGATATATAGGGCCTTTCTGGAAGGGCCCCCAGTGGGTTTCTATGGTCATGCAGTGAAGCAAACTCTGATCTTCAGAGTTGTAGTCCACTACACCACTAGCAGCAATTTCAGTTCTCCAGTTGCTAGCACACAAATTACACAAACACATCGAGCATAACCTCCAGGTGCCAAAGTTGGAAATGCCAAAATAGCTCTGTCTGTCTGTCTTGTATGTCTAAAAAACAGCACTGAATGTTTGCTGTGTATGTGTGTATTGTGATCTGTCCTGAGTCCCCTTTGGGGTGAGAGGGGCGGAATATAAATACTGTAAAGAAATAAAGAAATACATGTCTGCTGGCAATGCTTGTTTCAGGTGCTGGGATTGATAGTCCAAAAATAGCTTTTTCTGAGCTGTCTTCTAAGGATGATGGAACACAATACCATCATCTGCAATCTTCAGGCGAAGCAGTTCAATAAAAGTTTTACTATGTTAAAAATTCCATGTGACATAATTCCACACATGTTCAGGGCTTAAAATTATGTTAAGCTATGTTAACCGATTTCAACCTGTCATTTTCATATATGTTTTTAGCTTTTCAAAGTTCATTGTATTTTTATGCTGTTGAAATTACCCAGATTGGTTCACCACGCTGAGATCTTTAGATAGAGGGCAGGATATAAATAGTTAAATAAATAAACACTCTTTTTTCCATGCAGTCATATAATGAAAAACCCAGAAACCTACAAAAGCAATTTGCGTCCTTGCCTCCTCCCTTGTTCATGTTTGGGTGTCACTCAACCTGGACAACCAATGACCACATCAGGGAAACGTATTCCCTGCTTTTGCTAAAGGGAAGGTCCTCTTTTGGTTCAGTGTCTTGTATATACTGAATCTCTGCCATTCCCTTTTCAGGCCAACTGTTGTCCTTCAACCACTGGGACACCCACATGGTCCCGCAAATTACAGGGTCTGCTGCTGGGATTGCTCTAAAAATATCTTGTCATCATGAATTATCCCAAAATGAATTGTTTTAAAAATAGGCTTTGAAATGACTGTTCCTCTCCGTCTCCTGCGGAGAAGTCCACTGGTAAGAAAGAAAGCCACTTACTCTTCTACAAGCACCAATGAGCCCTGGCTGGAGGTAGCAGCCCCTGCTCCTTCCACGCCCAAGACCCAAGTGCCAGAGAAGGCTCAGACATCTGGGCACCCACACCCAATAACCTCAAAATCCCTCTAGACTGTGGCTGTGGCTTGCCAGAAGAGGGAAGGAAGAGGGTAAGAGGACACCTTTTACTAGGCCTCCTTCTTGGAGTGGGAATGGTGCGCTCCACCGGATTTTTCCAGCCAGGTAGCAGAAGGTTAGGCTTTAATGCACAGAGAGCAGCTTTGATTACTGGAGCAGACTTGTTTTCTATTGCTTCAAAAAGCAGGACCTGAACCAATGCATGGAAACTGAAGAGAAGCTGCCCTTTCAGATAAACACTAGGAGAAACAGTCTGACAATAAGAGCTGCTTGGCAGTAGAAGAGAGACCATCTTGGCGAGTGGTGAGTTTGCCTTGTCTGCAAGTATTTAAGCAGAGGCTGAAAGGCAATCTGGCAGGGATGTTTTTGTCACATCTTGAATGTATAAGATTCAATTCTGAATAAATTAAATGACTTCCAAGATTGCTTCCATTTATAGCAGTGGTTCTCAACCTTCCTAATGCTGGGACCCTTTAATATTTATTTATTTATTTACTGTATTTGTATACCACTCTTCTCAGCCCTCAGGGCGACTCAGAGCGGTTAACAAAGCAAATACAATACTTAAACATGATAAAAACAGTTAAAAACAAGTTTAAAAAATAACATTATAACAATCAATAAACATCATAATACAGTTCCTCGTGTTGTGGTGACCACCAAGCATAACATTATTTTTGTTGCTACTTCATAACAAGAACTAAAACATGGTCCGCCTCACTGTTACTACACCATTGCAAGGAGATCAACTGGTCTCGCAAAACCTTCTTATCATGCTGAGGCTTATTGAACATGGTTTTCTGTGAACATGGCGAGGAGATGGTGAACACTGGATGGCATATGTTCTCTATCAGAAACTACAGTTGATGTGGTCTATCCAATGCAACTTTCTGAATCAGCACATCAAATAACCAAGCCAAATCTAAAGTTGACCAAAAACTGATCTGAAATCCTTTTGGTACTAATGTTGGAGAGCAGTCCCTGGTCAAAGTGGTCCCTGGTCAAAAAAAAGTTGGAAACCACTGGTGTAAGGTAAGAGTCAGACTCAGCCATGCATTCACTGACCACACAACATCAACATGTGAAAAATTATTTGCATCATACTGTGTTTGACTGGAGTCTGGTCTCTTTAGGATTTCATCAAGATTAATTCAGTTTCCCTATATTTTAAGCTGGATATTCTAGTAACAATCCAAAAGAGGAAAACATTGCTAGGTTCCATTATTTTTTCCCATTATTTGCCAAAATCAACAATTATTTGACTCTAATTCTGAGAGAAAATTGAATATAAATAAAATAATATATATATATATCCCCTGTATTTGCCTACATTTTTGTTTATATTCATGCTGGACACAATAAATAAATATTCGTTCATTTCTGGACTTGATTAAGATGGAGGCAGAATGAACTAGAAGCAAATTGTTGTGTATTTCCAAAAATGTTTGCATATTAACTATAGCTCAGAAGAGAGCAAATTTTAGGCAACCAGCACTGGTTTAAAATGTGGAAACGTGTCTAACAATGTTTAGCAAATATAATGAGTGAGAGGTCAGCTTACTGGACAAGATCCAAGGTGGAAATTGTTAGTTATCACATTAAATGACTGTAAGACATAAATGTTTCCCCTTTCTTAAACCAGTCAGTGGGTGACTCTGCTGTGAGTCATGAAGCCAAAGCCCCTGTTTAGTCTGCCGTTGTTGCAGACCCTAACGGGGAAACAGAAATCATTCCTACATCTAAGTATTTTACACCATGTATCAGAGCTTTGCTTTCATTAGAAATGGTTACATTATTGCTGCTCTGATCAAAGGAAAACACTAAAGAAGGCAAATCAGAATTGTTTCTGTTTTGCTAAAATCCCCTCCATAATCTTGTGTATGTCTTCGTTATTGTTGCATGTCTTCAAATTGTTTCCAGCTTACGGTGATACCAAGTCAAATGTATTATGGGCATTTCCTGGCAAGATTTGTTCAGAGGAGGTTTGTCTTCCTCTGAGAGAATATGACTTGTTTAAGGTCACCCAGTGGGTTTCTGTGGTTGAGTAATGATTTGTCCCCAGCGCAATAGATTCCTTGGGGCATCTATATTGAAGCACCAATGCAGTTCAACACCACTTTAGCTGTCCTAACTCAATGTGTAGAATCATAGCAAATGTAGTTTGGTTAGGCACCAGCACTCTTTGGCAGTGAAGGCTAAAGAACTTGTAAAATTACCATTTCCATGATTCCACAGCAAAGAGTATTTGCACTACAGGATTTCAACATAGCTATATTTAAGTTTGCAACCTTATTCCCCTACCTATCTTTCTTTTCTTGGGCTTTTCCTTATCTTATTATAGTACATCACTGAATTTCTCTAGATCACTTATCAGAAGGAAGTGGGCTTAATGGGAAACAACAACAAGGGGCAAAGTAGGATATTAGGAGTATGTACACATATGTAAACCACTGAGCTGCTGAACTTGCTGATCGAAAGGTCAGCAGTTAAAATCCAAGGAGCAGGGAGGGCTCCCGTTGTTAGCCCTAGCTTCTGCCAACCTAGCAGTCTGAAAACATGCAAATGTGAGTAGATCAATAGGTACCGCTCTGGTGGGAAGGTAACAGCACTCCATGCAGTCATACCAGCCACATGACCTTGGAGGTGTCTACGGACAACGCCGGTTCTTCAGCTTAGAAATGGAGATGAGCACCACCTCCCAGAGTTGGACATGACTAGATTTAATGTTAAGGGGAAACCTTTACCTTTACACGTTTTCAGTTCAGTTGTATTAGTTATATCACATTCACAAGGAATAATTTCAGTGAAATCTCCAGCTCTGACATTATCAGATGCAGGCAAATTATTTCAAACTACATCCATTTAACTGCCAAGCACTACGTGTAACTGTAGTTTTTCTATACTAAAACTAAAGGCATGTGCAATTCCTTTTCCCTAATCAGACAACATCTGCCTTGACAGGAAATGTCCCTTTTCTGTATAATTTTGAATTTTCTTGCCACTAGTTTTCACAATCTCCTAGCTAACATGGCTCTGGCCATGGTGGCTGGGGGATTCTGGGAGATTCCATTTGAAAAAGTAACTTTTCCAAGAGCCTAAATGTGTGCCCATATTGGACTTAATAATCTAAGTTCTGTTTCTCTCTTAAAAGCTCAATGGGCCTCTATGGCATGAAAGCAAATGGGTTTTTAGACCCAGAAAGCAAGACCCTGGCACTCACCATTGGCATTTTCTTCTGTCTTGACTGGCATGAGGGGGCTCTGTGGGGCAGAATCTCCACTCAGGGAGTAACTGTGCTCTGCCTGGATGCCAGGAGTAGGAGGGTCCAGATCCATGTCCAGGAGAGGGTTCTTTTCAGCCAGAACGGGATCATCAAAGAAACTATTGAAGAGTTCATTAGAAAAGTCCTCCATGTTCTCTGAGAAGTGGTCAAAGCTCTCAGAGAAATGCTGAAAGAGAGAGAAGTGGGGGGGGGGGGGGAAAGGTTAGCATAACCTCCACAAAAGTCTAGCAGGCCTTCTGCTGAAACATATTCCAGGCCAGACATATGGGGTCCCAAATTGTTTGGATGAGGAAAAAAAAACATAGCCATATTTTCTTCGTACTGCAAAAAGCTAATGATAAAAAGGCCAAAACCCACAATGATGAATTTGTTTGCATGCTTTTCACACCTTAATTTAACTGTTCCAGTTTACATCTCTCAATCCGTATATGCAATTTTGCAAGTTTTACATACAGTATGATCCTTCCCTCATCTATAGTTTTGCTTATGCTGCAAAAAATATGCCCCCTCTCCAAAATGTTGGTGGGCCTTTCTAGGTCCCTCAATGTGATTCTACTTTGTATTTCCAGCCCATATGCAGTCAAAATATATAGTTAACTAATACCCACCATTTCAGGTATCCACGGGGTGTTTTGGAACATAATCCCCTGGAAATGGGGTGTCATATCGTATAATTTAGCAATGTCCTACTATCGACATGCTTTTCACGTGTTTTTTTTATTGTGAGACACATTCTGTATAACATTTCCTTTTAGAGCAGATACCATTTATCTATTGACTCATTTCTTTCACTGTATAGAGATCACCACTGATGTTTATCACAGCCAATACATAACTCACATATATATCTGTGCACTTGCTTTTATAAACCCAGACTGGGAAAAGTTTCCAACGAATTTGTGTATAGATATTAATAGATGTGCACAAGTACGTATACGGATGATATCCATGTCTTTGCATAGAATGCACTAATATAACCCCAACGTTATCTTTAGTGCTCATAGTATATAGAATAGTTCTTCAGCATATAATTTACCTTGTTAATCTCAGCATATTATGCCTCCTTGCCATTAGTAGTTCCTAGTCTGTTTCTATTGAGCCTTATCAGGTTGAGCTGAAATACTTCTTACCACCACCCCAAGTCTACATGCCGCATTATCACCGGGTGCCTGTGCCCTACACCACTGGAGAAATTACACTGTTTAGCTGGAATCGCACCATCTGACATCTGTCAGTAAGTAGCAACCAATAGTGAAAGGACCAAGGCAATGACATCTCCGGTCTATCCCCTGTTTGGATATCAGCCAGCATGCCAATGACTTAAATCAAGAAATAGTTTTCTAAGATCTACAGAGGCACTCACTGGAACACCTCAGCAAGTGTCCAAAAGTGGCAGGCTAAAACCCAGAACCTCAATCAATGGCTGATATCAAATGAGAGACTCCCTCCTGGGCACACAGAAAACTTGGCAACTTGGAAGGTGATAACCAGACTGCACTCTGGCACCACAAGATGCAGAGCCAACCTTAAGAAATGGGGCTACAAAGTGAAGTCCATGGCATGCAAATGTGGAGGACAGCAAACCACAGACCATCTATTACAATGCAGTCTGAGCCCCGCCACATGCACAATGGAGGACCTTCTTATAGCAACACCAGAGGCACTCCAAGAGGCCAGCTACTGATTAAAGGACATTTAACAGAATGCCAAGGTTTCAAACTTTGTGTGTGTGTGTTTTTTTTTTTTAAAATACAATACAATTGTTTGGTTCACTCCTGATACTGAAGCCTCACCCTATATGAAGCACTACAATCTGCCCATCCATAAGTCTTTGTGGAGATTCCTTGCTTATTCACCCACCCTGATGCTTTCACCACTAGTAATGGAGAGAACATTCAAGATTTCTGCTGCACAATTTTGTCACAGATGTCTAAAATCATTTGAATAAATGTGAAAGGTGGGTAAGTGTGAAAGGTGGGTATGGTCCCTTCAAAATTAAAGGGAAGCAAGGACAAAACTCCTATATTTTGCAAATACCACTGCTGGGATAACGTACGCTCAATAGTATGATGTACCCTTTCCATCCTGGGATATATAAGACCAATTGTTTCCAAATGAAAAAGGAAAGGGGGACATTTTAATTTCCTTTTGAAATTCAGGCATCCTCTGAATATCCAGAGAGAATATCATTATATCATATCATAACTGTGAATCTTTTCTTTCATTGCTTGTTAAAGTATTGATGTCCCATCCAATGCTACAAGGACTTAGGGCAGACAAGTAAAAACATTCTCATAACGTTTGGATATGAGTTAGTGAGTTTAACATAACATCTACTAATTCAAAGCAACATTTCTAATTATGTGCTTGTAATATTATTCTTTAACCCCATTTATAACATTTCCCCCCTCATTTGGTACATTACAAGACAGGCCACTGAGCAATAGCGAAGACATTCTTTGAGAATGAGTAAATGAAGGAGAAATACTTCAAACATGGGGGGGGGGGGGTTCTACATAAAGATAATCTTTGAGTTGGAAAGGACAGCTAGGGCTATCAAATCTAATCCTGTGCCATGCAAGAATATGCAAGCAAAGCACTTCTCAAACGCTGCCATACAATCTCTGTTTAAAGACCTTAAAATACCCTTCAAAGTAGTCTATTCCACCATCGAATAGTTATTACTGCAAATAAATTATTTCTAATGCTTAGGTAGAATCTTCTCTTGTCATTTGAATGCACTGGTTCATATTCTAATTTCTGGAGCAGCAGAAAACAAATTCACTCCACCATATATATGTCATGCCTTCAAATATTTAACATGGCTGTTATGTTTCAACCTTCTCTTTTCTGACCTAATAATGATCTGAATCAGGCCCTCCAACATGTCACAGATGAAAACTGGGACAGCTTTTGTCAAGCAGCATCACAGTGTGTCAAGATGGTAAATGTTATTAATAAGGAAGAGCACATAAGCTAAAGGAAGTCTGCAGCAGTTTGCTTTTCTCTAAGTTTACTTGGAAGAGTAAGATTCCGCTCTCTCCTCTCCTAGGGCAGTTCCAGACAGGACTTTAATGCGGACCCAATTGGGTTTAAAAACTTGATTGGGTCCACATTAGAGTCCGCACACCAACCCAACATTTGCGCTTTCCTGCTGAGGTGTGTGTGTCCAGATGTTCTCCCTTCCAGGAGAACACCGAGTCATCTGAACCACCCCCCAAAAGGGCTTTAAAAATAAAATTACTTAACCAGCTGCCATTAAATTGCTGCCGGAGCTCTCCTGGCACGTAGCAATGATGTGCCAAGCAAAGGGGGGCAGGAGCAATTTTCCTCCTCCCACCACTTCTCCTGGCATGCCATTTCTATGTACCAGGAGAGCTCCAGCAGCAGTTTAATGATGGCTGGGTAAGTAATTTTAAAGCCCTTTTGGGTGGGAGTTGGGAAGGGGTTTGAGTCCTCTCGGACATTCCAGATTGATTCAGCCCAGAAACGCAAGAGGTCTGGGCGGAGTGCCCCCTTGGATATCCCAGGACATAGTGGGTTAGACCTGGGACCTTCAGGAAGACCCAGATCTAATGCACAGTATTTTCCTGCTTTGTCCCAAAGGAATTTGTTTTTATGTGGGGCATCATTTGGATACCCCATGGAAAAACGCGGGTGCTCATGCATTTTAGGTGCTGATTGGATGCGACCTCACACTGTTGGTCAAAATACTGCTGCAGTCTAAACTCAGTTTGAACCAAAGTGAGATGAGAATACAGGGAAAAGTAGAAAGGGGAGAAGGAAGAGCAGACCTTTTAATAGTGGTTGAGAAAGTGGGATGACAAAGGATTACTTCACCAGGACAGTTCCTGGCAGTTGGAAGGTACCCTGAAGTGAGTTTTGCAGGATGTACATCATCAATAGAAAGTGAACATCTGGAATAAAATATGAATCTTTTCATGGAAGCATGATTCCCCTTTAGAAGAATGTGTCCATGTCATTTTGGAAAACAAAAGCAACAGTAAAAACAGCAGGTTGTTGTGTGTTTTCCAGGCTGTATGGCCATGTTCCAGAAGCATTCTCTCCTGACGTTTCGCCTATCTATGGCAGCCATCGTCAGAAGTTGTGAGACCTCACAACCTCTTCCATAGATACAGGCAAAATGTTAGGAAAGAATGCTTCTGGAACATGGCCATACAGCCCGGAAAGCACACAACACCCTGATTCTGGCCATGACACCCTTTGACAATACATTGGACATCTCTAAAGAGAGAAACTGTTCCAACACTAAAAACAGTTTTTCTAAAGTGGCAGCATATGTTTTGTAAAATAAGACATTTTACAATATGGAAGGTTGTAGTTTAGGAATGCCTACTCCACAGGATAATATTTTAAATTTAAGCATAATAAATGGCATGTCTAAGGCCAGCATTCACAATGTAGTTCTAGTATTGAGTTACACAGAACTCTTTATCAAACTTAGAATCGCCATCATTTTTTAAAAAATTGCCCTACCTTTTTCCAGCTGTGCAACTTGACACATAAACAACACAATTTTGACAAGGCAAGAAGATAGATTATAAGAAAGCTTTACCTGGAAAAGAATGCAATTCTACCAAAGTTTAAAGCCCAGCATATGCCTAATATAATTTACTTTTGATTAAACTTATATGGGATCAGAGACCACACTTCGCATGTCAAGCTGCTAGCACAAAAGCTGGAGTAATAATGCAAATATAGCAGTTCTTCTCAGTTTGAACGACAAAACTGTGGTTGGATTACAGTTTTCCTGCACAGCATCAATTTATCATCCGAAAAGTGGCATTATATGGGATAAGTGTGTGTGTGTACTGAAGCAATGAAAAAAATAAAATATCTGAGGTAGCCGACTTTTATTTTGAACAACTGAAGAAATCAAAAGCCAAATCATATTGCTAATAGATGTAGAAAGCTCCGTTTGTTAATCATTCCAATAAATAAATATTTTAAAGGATTAATTGCATCCTTCTGGGATCCAGAACAAATATGTCAGAAGTGTTCTTTGTTTGCTTTTAAATCACACAGCTATATGAAAGGATTTATTTTAAAGTGTAAGCTGTATCCTTTCAAAACTCCAGTCCATGGCACATGACTTGCTTTTTTCATCCAAATTGGAAAGGAGGGGCAATTGTTTTCTTCATGTAG